TCTCTCTTCTTTTCTTGTTGTGTTTTCCTTCCCAAATTGTAGCATTTTAATAATTTTCTGGGCTTTGTACCCTTCAGCGGAGCAGAAGCGGTCAGTGACTTTCACAGAAGCGCAGCCTGAGGCAGCAGCAGCCTCCCCAGGGGAGCCGTCAGGTCGGGCAGCCCCACAGCAGGGCTGCGGCCGCAGCAGCCCCCAGGCGACTGGCAAGCAGGACCCACCAAGTAAACCTGTGCTGACTTCTTCACCTGCTGTCATCGTGGCTGATCTCCACAGCCAGGCCACTGTCCAGGTAAGGTGGCTGATGGTTGGTTGGTGATGGGTCTCTGTCGCTGCTTCAGCAAAGTTGCAGGGCAAATTTAGAAGGAAATGCCTGATGCATTACAGCACTGTAACAAAAGCTGGTGGGTGAGTGAAGACAGCAAACTCTTGTGTCTGTCTGTTCTTTAGGCTGAGTTTGCTGACTTTTGTAAGCCACTCCCTTCTAGATCTGTGCAACGATTCTTCATTTGCAAATGTATTTCCTGCATCTTCCCTTTCTATCTTCCCGTCACATGCAGCAGTCCTTCTGGACCTGCTTACCCCCACAAGTTTTCATCAACAGGTTTTTACAGCTTGCTCTCTGAGAAATGTGTCCTTAAGGAAGGACTCTTTCAAAACCTCAGGACTGTTTTAGCAAAAGCATCACATTTCAAAAGAAATTGCTTGTCCAATATTCTTCTGTATTGGACACCACTGGGGAGAGTGCAGGGACAATCACTGTCATCCCTTCAGCACGACAGTGACATTGAGATCCCTTTTATAAGCCCAGATATCTAGTGTCTTTTGGGGGTTATGTCCTTGGCCATGAACAAATGAAAGACACGCATCTTGAGAGCACACAAAAAAATGAAATGAGAAAATGTTAATGACTGAATCAGATAACCTTTCTGGTCATTGCTACAAATCTGATTCACCAGCAAAAATATATCAGTGTTAGGGAAAAATTTTAGGGATTTATAATTGGCAAGTGCTCGGCTCCTTATGGTGAAAAGTACTTCCAAATGAGAAAATATTTTATAGACATTCCCATGCTTTTTTCCCCCTCTCCCTCCCACTTCTCTGAGCCTGAGCACTGGCTCTCCTCAATTGCAGAGTGAGGCACCTTCTGCTGAGAAGGAGAAGGAAAAAGAGGAGGGCTTGGAGTCCCGGCCAACAGCGACACAAAGCACCACGCCCACACAGCTCTCTGACACCGAGGACTACGCTGGCCTCGAGACCACCAGCTTGCTGCAGCATGGGGACACCGTCCTTCACATCACTGAGGACAATGGGATGGAGAACCCCTTGCTGGCCACTCACTTCAGCTTCACGCACGTGGAGCTTGGGGAGACTGATGTTGATCTAGATGAATCTCATGTTTAACTCGTGGGGAAGTTAGCGGGAGGAGGAAGAGAAAGTGTACCTTCTCCTTTGAGTTCCCTGGTAACTAGTAACTCATCAAAACAAGAGCACTTTATTAACCAAAAGCAGAAAACAGCTAACGACCAGTTGCTATAGACTGGCGCATTTCTGTTTGTGAAATCTATTTCAGTTCAGGGCAAGACCACGGGAACAGAGAATTTTTTTACAAAATTCTCAGGGTAGGGGTGTGTTGGGGAAATAGGTGGTCTGTAAAACCTCAATCCGGCAGCCATGTACTGTGATCAGCAGCCTCTCTGGGTAAGTGGGCTGTTGGACTGTATGAGACAGAGAAGCCTCTTTTGAGATTGTGCCCAAGATTTATTTTTGTAGTGTTTTTGAGAGGAGGGCTATACAGTAGCTGAACCCAAGACTCTTAAACATTGGTACTGACAGTGAAAACACTGACAAAAAGGTACCAATCTAAAGCTTGATTTTCACAAGCCTGGGACTTAGGTTGCTAACTTTGCAGAGCAATAATAAGCACTATGGGACAATTAGATTTTTTTTTTCTTTTGGCACCGCAGAGTTGAGTTGAGTTTACTTTTGTCTGTTGGTTTCATTCTACTCTGTAAGATATTGCCCTTGTGCTACAAAAATATTTGCTCTGTAAAACTAAATACAGTACATACCGTAAGAAGGAATGCACATGCTGTGCACAGATACAGATGGGCAGGGGGTGAGTGGTCTGCAGATGGTATAAATAGCCCACGCCGTCCTGCTTCAATGTACTGAGTAATTCCTCTCCACAGCTTAAAAAAACCCCAAGAAACCGCATCTGGAATGCATGGACCTTCTGGTACCTAGCAACTGCTCCACTGATGCTGTCGTATGTACTTAGATAAAAGGATTTAAAGTAAATATTTATATATGGTATTTTCATGTTCCTATATATATAAATATAAATATATATGTACATTGTAAACAAAAGATGGATATTGCAGGGCAGAAACTTGATGAAAGAATCTATTTTTGGCATGTTGAGACTGTATTTAAAGGGGTTCCATTTTATGTATGTAATGTTCATGGCTGCAAGTATTATATATATATATATATATATATATATATATATATATATATACACATAACATTTATACGTAGGTGGAGATGCCCGTGGGGGATCAGCTGAAGTCATAGCTGAGTTACGGGCTATGCTGCAGCATCACGGAATTACACTGAAATGTGAATTTAGCCATTAGCTGCTTACGGGCAAACTGCAAAACAGCTGCGGAACAAACCATGAAATCATAAGCAACGCCCAAAGTTACCCTGTGCTTTGGGAATCATATACTGCCTTTTTCAGCTTATGTTAGAACAATAACATGGCGTTATTGTGCAGAGGAAAATGTTTCAGATCATCCTGAGATTCTGTAAAATGTGCTAATTAACAGTTTCGCTCCTGAGGGCTTGTAATTTGGACGCACGCATCATGAAACAGCCTTACTGAGGAGACAGAATGATATCCTCCTAGCCATCTCCAAAGAAAGGATTCGCGCCTCTCTTCAGCACCTCTGAAAAAAGCTGTTTAAAATACTGCCATACAAACGACTGCCTCACTGCTGTAGTGCAGCATGCAGTTTTTACTGTTGCGTGGAAAATAAACCATATACCTGACAGCAGGTTTCAGCCTGCTGAAACCCATGGAGCCTTCAGGCTGCGCTGCCTGATATTTGCCAAGTGCTCAACTCTTGATTGGAGCTGTGCACACCGATCCAAGGAGGGAGCTCATGCACGTTAAACCTCCGAAGGTAGCAAAAGCCATCCTTCTCCCAGGCTCATGGGGGCTGAGCATGCTCTGCTATCTGCTTTGGTGAGAGGTGGAGACTCTCAGCACCTCTTGGGAAAAGCAGGGCTGGAAAGGCAGCTGTTTTTATAGTGCAGCACCTATACCACCATCTCTCTCTCTTTGTATATATGTGGTGCGCTAATTCAACTTTAAAGTGTATGTGGTTTAGGTGAAGCTGGCAGTGTCTCGATGCGCTGGTCAATGTGTGTCCTGACTGACAAACTGCTTACTCTGCTGACCAAAACATGCTGTACCGCTCCTTATCTCCTCAGCGCACAGGAGTCAGCACCAGCTACCTATAGGAGACTGCTTTGGATTAACTCCTAGCTTGGAGGTCACTCAAAGAATTGCTAAATTCCAGAAGCTAAGTTTTATTATTATCAGTGACGCACAAATGAGAAAACACAGAGCTTCATTTTCAAATCCCAAGGTAGGCTGGGTTACTGGCAGCTGGGTGGGGGAGGAGTTTTAGATGCGAGCTGAGTAAACGGCTGGGACACACCACAGATGGAATTCATGGTGCATTTTATAGTGACCCCTTCTGCTGAAAATGAGAAGGAAGCATCTTCCTTAATGAAAAGTAGATGCCTCACCATGGTACTCCACTCTAACAATGACAAAATAACTGTGATTTACTTCATTCAATTCAGTATGTGTAATAAACATTTCCATTCAGGTTTCCCACTGTCGCTGGTGAATCCACAGTAGTAAGCCATAGCAAGGCCTAAAATGCCTCTTTTTAATGTTTACCCTGCTAGAAATCAATGCAGCTTATAAATGATGTAATCCGTAATTTAGTTTTATTCAGGTGGCCAGGCAGATGGCTTTCATTTTGTTGGATGGTTGTTGAGAGATGGGACAGGCAGACCAGTCTGTTTTCTTGTGCGTTTTACTTTCGTATCGGCTGCACTTAATACTGTACTAATGAGGTGCATACACTGTATTTTAGCTGGTTTTGTGCTTTCCTCCAGTATCTCTGTAACAGAACTGGTGTATTTCTGCTGTGAAGACAAACAATGCTGCTTAGTGTTAGAGGCCTTAAGCGCATGTCATGTTCCACAAATGTCCAGGCTGTACCAGTCTTGTCAGCGCGTCAGTCGGTCCCATTGCCTCAGCATTTTACGCAAATGTTGTCCTGAGGTCTAAATACAGAGGAGTGACAGCAAAAGGACAGAGTTCTGTTTCAGTTTCTTGCATAACACCGCCTCGCTTTCCCTTTCTAAAAGGCTCTGATACACTGTTATCTGAGATTGTTTTGTTCCAGGGCAGGGCCAGCGTTTGTTAAAATTTACCCATCTGCTTCCTCGCTGTAGCCCCAGCCCCGCGCTGCGGGGGCCGCTGGAAGGTGCGTGCCACGGCCTGCGCGCACCTGCCCGGGCCTGCAGCAGCGCTAACACCTGGAACTGCGCTTCCTAACAGAAAATGCTTTGCTGGGAATTTTTTTTACAAAAAAAATCTGTCAAAAGAAGCTCGCCCCCTGCCCGGGGGCGGCTGCTAGGCGGGGGTCTGTACCCTCCCAAGCGCCAAGAGAACTCGGGGACAGGCCTCGGGGGTTGCCCGTGCCACAGCCACGGCGGAGGGCAGCCAGGCAGGACCGCTGCGCCGGCCCGTGAGGCCGGGTCCCTGAGAAACGTCTGGC